ATCAGATGAACTATACCCGAGCTCATGCAATCACCGTCTCTACCACTGGGGTAAATTGCGCAATTTTGTGTTGCACATAGACGGTCATATAGTCGATTACGAACTAGCTGGCGCCTAAGATTACTCGGTGGCATCTCAACTACGTTTACCGAATTCTCTAGACCCGCCCTTCTTAAGCAGCGTTTTATGGCTGCACTTACATCATTTGAGATGAAGGGTAGGATAAACGGGACCTTTTTATCACTAGAATTGTCATTTTGGGGCCTAGGATTTTCCCTACACCTATCCCGAGCTACAGTTTCGTAGCCAATAGAAAGGGTTAATTGTCGTGCCTAGTTCCGGGACTCCTTTCTCTGCTCTCTTCCCGTGTACACATTGGTTGCTGTTCGAATTATGTTTCTTATAAGCGCCTTTTTTGTGTGTGAAGGGTGAGAGGAGAGGTAATGAACAAGTACGCTTCTGCTACTTGGCTTCCAGTACCTTTTCGTAATGAAGAATTCTGATTGTCCGATTCTGTCTTCAGTGTGATTGAAATCTTGGTTTAGCGTTTTGTTTGTTTGGTTATGGAGGTGTTTGCCCAGGTAGATTGGTGTCAACTTGACCTCTCCAGGCTCTGAGGAAGGCGAAATCCGGCGAAATGTCAGCTTGTTCCTGAATAGATTATAAAATAACACCTAGCGCTTGCTGAACAAGAATATAAAAATTACTTTAAAGATTGTACTTTGTGATTTCTCGGCTCTAGAACTAGGCCTTGATAAAATGCAAACTTTAATTTCATTATTAGGATTGAATCCATTGCCGCTGATTAGATAAGCCCGACATCGAACGCCGAAATTGGCGATCACCATCCCTTTTATTTTCTCATTTTTCAACCCAATTGTTTTACATTCCCTGTCATGTGACTTAATAATATTGATAGTTTTTTGCAAACAAGATGCGATCATTCTTCTTCTGCTACGATAAAATTCCGATTTTTGGAGCTCACAGGCAATTCTTCCCCTCTGCCTCTGCTAGAACTTGTATATTAAATGGCGAAGAGATTCAAAGGAGGTAATTTTTCATAAAGATGCGACAGTGTTCCTAACATTTGTTATTGCCTTTACACCTGGCGCGTTTACGCTGAAAACTTGCTGTATTTAATTTTCAAACGGATTTGGAACTACGACAATTGTTAGATAATTTTATTTATCGTTATTGTTGCAGTGTTAAGTTCTCGTGCTAGGTTCTTCAAGTTCTAGGGTTCCCAAATACCCTAGTTATCAGAAAACTGGCACCATCACGAATACGATAAAGTTCTCTTTTATCTCAGGTGCATTTGTCAAATTTGATTTCACGATTTCGGAGTCTCAGGTGGAAGGGCGTTCGCCTGAACAATCAACGCGTTAGCATACGGAAATGCTAACAGCGGATTTGATTCCCACCGCAAGCAGTTGCTCTCCAATGTTTTGCAAATATGTTTTCATGATTATGAATGTATATCCTGCTGTAAAAAGTTGTAGTAGGTAGCAAATAAATAAAAAGGTAAGAACTTATTGTTTCGTTGTTTGTAAGCCTTCCAGTTATTTAGTGGTGTGCAGCATTTTACATGGCTGGGGAATGTGTCCGGCTCGAGTCAAAAAATCAGGCTAGAGTACGGTGCTAGGCCACTTGTGCTCACAAAACACTCGTCCTAACGGCTCATTTTTGGTTTATTGGAACTTATCCAACACGCTCCAAGAGTCTTACGCGCTGATGTTTTGGATTGTTCAGTGACGATAGTGACTTTTACTTCAAAACTTTCTCCGTCATATTTCTGTCTCCCGTACGCGCCTAGTGGATTAATTGTTTAACTTGAAATTTACCAACTACGTATTCCTTTATACGGACGCTGAGTGGTTTATCCGTTTCGCTAAGGTATTCGCTCCTACATGAGATCACATTAACCGCACCCGAACGCATCCAGTCACCGTCTCCTCTATTCGGGCATGTAATGCAATTTTGCCTCGTGCATAGAAAGCACTGGCTCACAAGGAACGCAATGAATTACTGATCAATGCCTGCTTTAAAAGGATATTGCTCTTGGGGTCTAGCAGCTGTCACAAACTTCATTCCATCGGTGACCATTTTCATAAATCTCCCGCTGTTCAGTACCTGTTTACACTTCTTCCAAGCCTCTTAAGAAGAACCTGTTTTCATTCCGAAAAACCTGGTGACCATGAAGTTCAGCGCATGTTGTTGGAATTAACTGATCAGCATGATGGATTCAATACTAATGACAAAGCTAGAATTTGCTAGAATTTTACCAAGATCTAGCTGTTTGCAGAGTCTATGGACTACGGAGTATGACGTTTAAACCTACTGTTTCTTATAGGTGATTTCAGTGACTATCGGACTCGATTCTATCAATTCTGTTCCCTTACGCTGTGATCATTTGGATAGAAAAATCGAGCTCTCACTTCCAAATTTGGTGTCCAAGTTCGTAATATGGAAACTCGTCCGGAGAAAATGAGCGCCAAGTACGTCTGCCAAGACTCATATTTTTGCTACATTATTTGGTCAAACTATAGGACAATGTGAAGTGGTGAAATCAGCCTGCGGTTCAGAGCAATTGACGGAAAATCCATGTAACTCAAAACATTCGTGGGCAATGGAATCATTTAAAATTTTGTTTTCTCTTCTAAACGAAGCGATTTCTACAAAATACAATAACTGCTGTCGTGGAAAAAATTTTTTTGGAAAGAAAACGCCCAAGAAAACTACTATAACCACAAACAATACTTTACATACGTGAACCTCAAAAAAGGGTAATCACGGAATGTTGTAGTGTTAAGACGATGGAACATTTCCAGTGAGAAAACTACGATGGGGCAGGACGATTATTCCTTTTCAAAATTCAATTTCATCAACTAAGATGTTCTATCAACACGTGAGAACTCCATTACGTCGAAGTAGAGGCAAAGCACGCGAAGATAATTTGGTTTGAAAATTTATAGTAGTGGATAGATATGAGAGCCACAAGTTCTCAAGTGGTTACCACATTCCCCGGGAGTACAGTTACAAATCATGCTTTTCAGAGACACCTGATGCAGCAGCTAGTGAGCAGCCTTATCGTTCCAAGCATCTAGAGCATACTACGGTCTGCTCTGTTGTAAAGCACTATAGACCTTCATATGGAAGAATGCCGAGAGGTACAAGTTCCGTTGCACACAAGACCTACAAGAAATGTAAGAAATTTGAAACAGAAATTGACTCAATGTGACCATGTACTACGAACGCATTCTCGGCGTTACTGCCACCTCTAACAATTAAAACTTGCCAGTAGAATTTACCAAGCGCGACAAATTCGTATCTCGTGATTCGCTACTGGTGGCAACACCGATGAAAATACTTGATCCTCTGCCCAAGGAGAAAAGCTGTGGCGCCACCTAGACTCGCATCCAGGAAACAACGACAACTGTAGTCTCTGGCTGTGAATCGCGCTCTCCCTGTGTCTAGTGCTCATGTTATTGCAAAAGAAAGAGCTCTTGCAAAAGTAGTAGCGATGCGTAAGGAAAGGTGTTAGCTGCGTAATCCTCCACACTTGTGCCTTCTGACTGTCGGTGAGAAAGCACACAAGTGGATACTGGTATGAGAAAGATGTGGTCTAGCCGATGCCATCTCCTCAATACGCTCGGGAGCAGGTAGCTACGTTTTGCAACAGCAGGTGATGACCAACTTTGGGACAGAAATTTAAGCTGAAGGGCAAATTATATGCAATGTGGATGTCGTAGAAACCCACCATCACTTGTATTACCTGTCGTCCCATCTATCGTCGAGTGACTCGAGCAGGGCGCGAACCTTCCATTTCTCCCTATAACGTGCAAGAGTAGCCCAGTGGATTTTGCTCACTCTAGGGGCTCATTGAGCATCATACCTTTATTCCAGGCTTTTCGTGAAAAACTCTGAGCATCGAATCGGTGGTCTTCTTGAAGTACGTTTGACATACCGAGGAAACCAGTTCCCAACGGTTCTGCCTAACGATTATTGTCGTTAATAGGCAATGCTCATGCGGTTCATCTTATCTTCAACAGCTTGGAGCAAAAAACGGCATCTTTGATTTTTGGTCACTGAAGTAGGTCAGAGCTTCGCTTGCCTAACATGCGTGATATATGATACTCCCAGCATCGTACTTTCGACTGCGCGTTCAATAACATTGAGTGATCCTTCATTGTCCCTTTGCAGCAACCAGGTTCCTGATGCGTACATTAAGGCAGGAAGTATCGTGGAGTCGCAAAGGTAAGTATGGAGTCAGGTGTTCATTGTACTCTTCATTATATCCTCAATGCTTTTGAAACCTCCCCATTCCGGTCGTTTCCTTCTGCTCAACTCTGGAGCTAAGTCGTTCATAATTTTGAATTCTCGACCGAGATAGACGTAACTGGAGCATGCTGAGATATTCCTTCCGTTGAGCGTGAATGGGGCATGAGAAACCAATCCGTTCCTGATGAACATCGTTTTTGTGAGATTTAGCCGAAGACCAATCCTTCCACAGGCTTTATCAAAGTAGTCAAACATACGTTCTGCTTGGCTAATGTTTGGTGTTACAAGGACGATGTCATCAGTAAAGCACAGATGGTGTGATCGCCTACCATTGATTTTCACTCCCATGTTGTCCCATTTAATGTTTTTTATCTAGGCAATGCTGTCCGTTGTCCAGTGTTCTGTCAATCCGGCTTAGGATGACTTGAGTGAGAGGTTTGCAGACAACATATAGTAAGCGGATTGGGCGATACTTGCTGATATCCAGGAGCCTTGCATATGAGATATGAGGGCCGTTCTTCGAGTAATCAGATCTTATCTTGTCCAGATCCGGTGTTGTTTGATTTTTCACTCATGAAATCACATATCGGATTTCGGAAGGAAGAACAAATGGTATGACACAGCCACTCTCCTTTATTTTGTATGAGGGCGAGAAAACGTGGCTATTGAAGAAACCTGGGTAGTATTCGTGAATAATTTTCTCCATTGCCTTTCTGGACGCTTTAACTGTTCGATCTCGGCGTTGGAGTGGAATAATCTTGATCTTGTGATGGGAAGCTTCGATGGGCATTGCGAACGCTTTTCCCAGCATTTGCAGCTTCGACCATAGCTGCTGCTCTTCTCTCCTTAAGATCTTCTTTTATCGCCTCTCTCCATTGTTTGCCAAGTTCGGACGTTAGCTCGCGGTTGCCTGGAGCTCGTCTGATTCCACACAAGCGTATAAGCTCACGAATTCCTGGGTAAAGATGTCTCTTGGTGATATTCGAATTCTCAGCTTTCATAGCGCTAACGTAAAGATTTTAAAAGAACCTATCGCATTCCTTATCGATGTGATTGAGAAAGGCATGTTCTCGACAGCGGACTAATGAGTTGAATAAACCCCAGATTATTGTGTTTTTGGGACCTCGGTCCCATCCGGGTTGTCAGTTGTTCGGATGCATCGATGCTTACCGACAAACTCGTGTTTACAACGCCAACTCCTCTACTGTCGCATGTTCCGAGGAACAGTTCATCTCTGGTGGCACAGACGGTGTCGTATCGTCTCGGCCAGGCCGATGACGTCACACGTTATTCCTCTTGTTTGTATGAGCAAATCTACCGAGCGTACGTGCATTGTAGGTACAGATCATCACCTTAGTTCTTCGTGACCCAGGCAACTTCCATTGGCCCCGGGATTTTAGCAGCCTCTCCGTACTCGTGCTCTCAACGCTGCCAAATTAGGGGCTCTTTCGGGGTGAGGGGAATGAGGCCCGTTTCTATCAATATCTTTATGACGTATAACCTATTTCTATGGCGTGGTTCCAACCGCCTCCCATATACTTCCGCGAGTTCTTTGCAGGCTTTTGGCAGAATGGACTCGTAGAATACAGTCCGCGCAAGCAAGAACACAGCTATGCACGCATGAATGAATACGCCTTGGCATATACAGAAGGTATATGCAAAATAGGACGCCTGTAGTCGGAGACACCTTGGAATACACGCGTGGCATCGATCCTTGCGCCTGTGGCCCACCAAGTTTCCCATCCCTCCGGGGTCGGCAAATTAGTGTCAAACTTGTGTGGGAGGATAGTAGCACTGGCTCGATACATCGGCAGGCCACCGCGAGTCATTGTAAAGGCCATTTGTGCATTCAACCACCTCCAAACGATGATTAATGAAGTCGAATGCATGGCGTACCCCTTCTGGACTGATCACTGCCGACAGCTTTATCCCTTTTTTATTTATATTCGAAATCCGCGCAGCAGAAACAGAAAGTCCACTCCCTGGATCCAGCTGCTTTTCAGGGAAGATTTTTTCCAACTAATAGAAGATTCTAAATAGGGGTGTGCTCCGGACTCGATCAGTATGATGAGTACTTAATCTTTTTAGCTTGCATCACAGGCTCTTTCATAGAACATTCGGAAAATAGTCGCACGCAAATACTGATCGACACTTTCAACTTTTCGGTATAAGCAGCCTAGAATAGTTCCGAAAATTTAAAGTTCTTCGTTGCTTTTGCTATTTAACCAACAGTATTAAAAGTTTGTTCAGGGAATGGGTACATTTAACCTCAGTTCTTTTTTCTTTGCCCAAATCACATACGGGGGGTTTGCTAGGCTCTCGTGGAATGGACATGAGGCTTATTTCTTACACTGTTATTCCGAGTCACCTAGAATTTTCTTACTGTTCTTTCGAATGCAGAATTTCGATGAACTAGACGAGCAGGTTATGGTTTCATTTACCCATGCACACTTGCACATTTGTGCACAAGTGTTGGCAACGATATAAGCAAGGCTTATCTTAAGGAGTCACAGGAAAGACAAGGTGACCATCACTTGAATCCACCAAAGAGCGTGAGAGTAAGTGAACAGTTATGGCATCTGGACTTCTGTTAGTTGTCAAAAAACCAGATGGGTGAAAGTTTTGAGTTTTTTTGTTAACTTCGTACCAGCTCGCATCTCGTGGTTAAAGAAAAGAAGCTTCTTATTTTAACCCTGTTCTTGGCGATTAATACACACAGAGATCTGAGTGAGTTCTGGTATGGATCGTGATTAGCCTGGCTAATTTTTCGCGGTTTTAGTTGTTAAAGGCAATTTCATACCACCTACCAAATATTTAAGCTCCGTAACCTTTCGATCGAACTGAAGCGCGGGATGGAATCCATGTCCACACGAGCACAGTTATGTACAGTTGATTGAATTAGCCTTTGTTATACAAAATTCCGCTGTCAGCTACAGAGACCACACTATGGACGATGCTGGTCTAACGAATTAGTGAATTAGTAACGACTTTTGTAGTGCTTGTGGATCAAACCTTCGAATTTCTGAAAAACATGCTTGAAGTAACCAGCGTATTTATCGCCACATCAGGTTAAACCAAAGTACAGATTTTTTATTTGAGTGCAAAGGTTTATTATAGAAAAAATGCCCAGTGAATGTAGCTTTGTTGCATGCCATTTTAATAGTTCCCGTTGGTAAACAACGTCTTGAACTAAAGACAAACATCGTTCCATTTTATCAGTTCGAATTGAGCATATTTTTCCGTCAGCAGATGGCAGTTTCTTTCTTCTGTTGTTTTTCGTTTTTTCACTACAACTGAACAATGATCAGATCCCAATTCTTATGTTTATTTGACTCGTTTGCATTCGCCGTCAACAATGGCTTTCGGATTTACGTGTATTCGGCTGCTCATTGAGAAATTTTTCCTTAATTAATGAAAGATGTTAAGTGCTGGACGAGCTAATTCTTCCTAGAATGCCGGTATTTCCGTTCAAGGGCGCCCTCCTGTGGCTTCGCTGCATGCAATCGCAAGACTTTTTAAATAGAAGCTGTTTCCGGAAAAATCTGGCAACAGTTCTTCCAACCCGTAGTGAATGGGAAGCTTGACCGTTCTGGAGAAGGGTCGAACGAGGTTCTTCTTAATGAACGCGCATTTCTCCACTGTTCTACCAGCAAACCAAAAATTGATGATAATGTCGACACCAATCGATTGTAACATTGTAACATTCTAAAAACTCATCGGAAGACTGAATATCTCAACATCATTTGGAAAAATGGAAAATTTTACCAATGGTCCATAGAACAGAAAAAGCAATGAGTTCCAAATGCATTGCTTTGTGGTTTGCAATAGGATAAATCTGCCTCATATTTGTGGGCTCTGACGATGCCCCACAAAAGAATAGCGCAATGAAGAAACCGATGAAGTGCGTGAAGGACTGCAAGGTACCTATGCAGCGCTCATCTGCGAAACAACAATTAAGATTTAATTACATTAATCTCAAACATAACTCACTAGACTTCGTGCTAATCGACTGTCGCTTGACTATAAAAGTTGAAAAAGGAGTTGCTGCGCATACCATCAACAACCGAGTCTTTGCTGGGAATTCCCTCGAAGTATGCGAACCTTCCAGAATTTCCAAATTTCCGGCTACCGTACAAATAGACATACGCTTAGCACGTGGAAATATACAGGTTTTAATTTCATGCTTCTCCTCCAGGTGAATTACAGTATTTAAATGACAGAACCTGATGCATTGCGAAAATGTGGTCTCATAAGTGCAATACGAAAGATTCTCCCTTATGGAAAGAAAGCCTTTAACAGGAGGGGCGTTTTTCGCCTAAACTTATAACTCAGTTTTAATTCTACCTTATCCTACCATCTCCATCAAACATGTCGACTACCACTTTTTCAAACCCTCGATAACCATCTTCAGGGAACATTACCCGCAACCAGCCCAACGCTAAAAATTCTATCGGAAAATTTGCCGACTACAGGACTTTATAATTCTACAGTAGCGATATAAAAAAAGAAAAGTTGTAGATTTTAGTTTTTCACAAATCGATTAATAAGATTCTGTTCAAACCAAGTGATGACACATTAAAGCGCCAACTGAAAATCAGATACCGTTTCTAGATTTGCCTGGTTTATATAATTATCAGCATCCTATGGTGTTACCGCCTCGTCATGGCTGGGAGGTGTTCCTGGGTGTCGGGCGGCCATGTACAGCCGTGTATTCATTTCCTGTCATTTTTCTTCTAAGCTGAGAAGGAGTCAAGCGTTTCCATCAGGAAGCCAAATTAAGAGTAAATCGATGCTAGGATCCAACGCCGTCATGGTATCAAAGTCTCATGGTGGAAAATCTCCCTGTGATGCAAAAGTGCTGCGACTGCCTGTGGTGGTGAAGACCTGTGGCAGACTTTGGTCAGGCTGACCTCGGGACTCCAGGGAACCGCAGTGACTAAAACGCTGAGACCCGCACAACTGGTCAAGACGGGCTATCCAAGTACCCAACTAATTAAGTATAGAATTATTAAAGTTTTTAGTAACTGTGTCACATATGTAAGGTATTGGCTTTGCTTTTTTCCATATATTTTAGACACACAACGCGATTCTTTATTGTTCTTCTCGCCATTACGATTTCTAGTTTTCAATTTTTTTAGACTTTAACGTAGTATATTTAAAAAACAGAAAATCCAAGTATCAGCAATTAGGCATAGAACTTATGGATTCTTCTGAAGGATGGAATGCTAATGTCTAAAGAGAATGACTGCGATCGCAGACACC